TTTCCCTCTTGGGTAACTTACTTTGGGGGAAGCCCACTGCCATGTTAAGCAACCCTATGGAGAGGCCCACATGGCAAGGAAATAAGGTTTGCCAACAAACGTGGAAACACATTCTCCACCCCTAGTAGAGCTCGGATGCCTGCAGCCCCGGCTAACACTTTGATTACAGTGCTGTGAGAAACCCAATGCCAAAACTACCTAGCTACGTAGCTCTGGGATTCCTGAACCACAGAAACTGTGAGATAATTCGTGTTTATATCAAACTACTAGGTTTTGAGGTAGTTTGTTACACAGCAATAGATAACTAATACACCTGAGAAGGGATGGCAATAGCCTAGGATTTACAGTTAAGAAAATCTGGGTTCAAGTCCAGGCAACGGTGCTTACTAAAAGAATAAACCTGAGCAAAGCACTTAATCTCTGAAGAGCCTCAGTATCTACTTGGAAAATGAGAAAACAGATTATAATACACTATGAGGTAAACAGCATATCCTAAAACAAGAACATAAGACAATCAAGCTAAAAATAAGGTCTCTGGCAAAACAAATCTAATCCCTAAGGTACCGAGATTCAGAGATCCCATCTAAAACAAGCAGAAAACTCATCTAAGTGTCATAAAAAGCAGCTTTTCATAGTCTAAATAGAAATAAATGATTAGATTTACTTCTCAATACCAAAAAGATATGAAAAAATGTAAACTGTTACCTACTTACCTAAAAGTAAAATTTGCATCATTATTTCAGACCTAGAAAACCAAGATTATATAGCCTACAAGCAGTCTAAAAAGCTGGAGGTCTAATCTATTCTGAGCAAAATCCTTTATACTCCCTAGATCCCAGGCCTGGCATTGGAATGAGGTACACTGAGCTTGCTGTGCACCAAATTGCTCTCTTGCTCAAAAACATGGAGGTATTGATAAGTAAAATTTGCATCATTATTTCAGACCTAGAAAACCAAGATTATATAGCCTACAAGCAGTCTAAAAAGCTGGAGGTCTAATCTATTCTGAGCAAAATCCTTTATACTCCCTAGATCCCAGGCCTGGCATTGGAATGAGGTACACTGAGCTTGCTGTGCACCAAAATGCTCTCTTGCTCAAAAACATAGAGATATTGATTCTGTTGTCAGATTCAATTCAGATGCTTTTTTTAAAATAAAGATATACATATTTGGTATCACACTAATGTGGCACAGGTGTTCTTGGGCATTAAGGAGAAGAATGCAGGAATAAAAAGGAGAGAAACCCTGAAGGCTTAAATTTTACTGAAATATGATGATTTTCAGCCGACCCTAGTTGTTCTGGTTGTAAAGAATTGTGAGAGATAATCAAATCTCCTCAGGAGACAGGAATCTCCCAGCCAGGCCATTATATACATAATCTGCCTAGTTAGTAGAGTTCTGACTAGGCTGCTAGGACAATGTAGGCTAAGAATGGACCAGAAGCTCTATCTCCCTGGCCTTTTCCTATTGCTGACTACTTTAATGCCAAAGCCCAGGGATGACTAAGTAGTCTGCTGGTATTCAATATCTTTGGATCAAAACAGCCACCCATGATCACTACTTAAATGCATGAAGGAGACAAATGGCTAAGTCTAAACTTGATACATGATTTACATTTGTAAAATATCTTATTCCTGATCAAGATTTCAAATCTGCACCCCCCACCCCACCCCTGCATTCTTCTCCTTAATGCCCAAGAACACCTGTGCCCCACTCCTCATGCAATGTGTCTACAAGTGATAATGAAGATATGTACAGAATCCAAATTATGGTTTGTACTTTTTTCCTCTTCTAGAAAGATGTATAAATCCTGGCCACAAAATGCTCCCTGACACTTCTCTAAACACAAATGTGTTTTTCCTGAAGTGAAATATACATAGAAATTTTGACTATGAATTTCCTATCACTCAACTCCATAAAACAGATTTGCACACATTAAATGAAACATGGTACTTACACATAGAGATCCATAGGAAACTCCTTCATCATGTGTGTTACAATAAATTCCACCATCAGGTCTGAATGGAGAAAGGAGAAAATTAAATTAATCAGGATGAAATTCATTCCTTGCCTCCGAACTGGAAAAAACCTTCTGAGTATACCTTGCACTCATGCTGCATGGCATCCACTAACAACATCTTTATTCACACACACTTAAATTTATTTAATATAAGGCACTTTTTGCAACTTTCATGACCTACCACTTGTAAAGTAATGAGAAAATTAGTTAACTTTACTAATTCCAGAAGAATACCTTGACCTGCCAATAAATTCATATACAAAGGAGATTTCACTATACAGGTATTTCATATCATGGCACTAATGCAAATGCCAGAGGGAAATCATATTCTGAGAACTGACTGATGAGGCAAACGTAGAAGAAATTATGGATCACGTCCATGTAACCAGAGACTCAGCTCTAAAACTATGTCTATCCTATCTCACTATATGCTTAGTTGGACAGATATTGACTAAAATAGTCTGTGGGGCTTCGGGTCAATGGAAGTTTATTACATAGTCTTAATTACTGTTTCTAAAATCAAGTAGATCTAAGAACTAGAGCTGAATATCTAAGTGAAATGGGATTAAGAGTTCAGATCATTCCCCCAAGGCAATGCAGCATTCTGACAAAATTACCTAAAATACAGCCCCCTACCTGTCAGTTCTGTCAGCTTCATCTCAGCTTAATTTAAGCTTAATATATTCGGAGTAAGTTTTGCATGTCTGAACCTTAAACATCAAGCCTCCTGGTCAGTTCACACATCAATACTGACCAAGAAGGGACGGGGGGGGGCGGGGAGATGGGGGGGTGCAGATTTGAAATCTTGATCAGGAATAAGATATTTTACAAATGTAAATCATGTATCAAGTTTAGACTTAGCCATTTGTCTCCTTAGAAAGATCTTTTTCTGAGAGCAAGAGCACTCTTTAATTGAACATTCTATTCATGGGAGTTGCTTTACCAATTCAACAAAAAACATAGTTTCTTAGGCCAGGAAAGAAACACAACTAGTTACAACTTCTCTGAGGAAGAAGTACATCAGCCAGGATCTATCTCTTATCTTAATTATGAAAACCTGTCGCTGGCTCAGAAAAATGTCAATTTTGATGATACTCACCCAGTACTGCACATACTAAAGGACGGCAGGGAAGGTTCTTGTCTGCAGCCTTCTTCCTGTGTCGCATAGGCTTCACACAAAAAAGAACTGAAATTAGCAGGCACCTGAACTGACATCCAATGGCTCGTCATCATGTATTTCATGCAAAGAAAATCACTACTACAGAGATGCTACCTTTCTCTCTTTTTTTCTAGTGGTGGGGATTGGGTGGGGCAGGGAGGACTTGTAAATGCTTCTCAGTTATCAATGCAAGCCTGTGACAAAAACACAATTCAGCAAGACAACAGCCCCAAAGGGCACCAGAACATCCCATACAATAGGAAAAGTGTTATTTTTACTTTGATTTTATCTATACAAGTGACATTACTAATGACAAATGAGATATACTGGTATTTTTCTTTGATAAAATAATAAGAAAAAGAAGAGAAGGTGACTGTGTAGAAGGAGCAACAGTGGCAGTTGCAAAAACCAAAAGTAAGTTTCAAATATAAACCTCTGTGATATTTTTTAACATACCTCCAAGTTTTAGGAAATTCCCTGATCCTTCATATTCTATTTCCTCCACTACTCAGATCAATAAATCAAAGAACTATCTAGTCTTAATTAAGTAAAGATCATACTATATTGTGAAAACAAAAGGCTTAGGCCCATATCCCTGTTGAAATCTGTGTTACTGATACATTCTAATATTACTGCCATGGGTATATGGTTGCGGACCTTCCATCCTCTCAAGTAAGAAACAGCTCCATGACGCACAAAAAAATCCCAACAGGCATGGGTCTTGTTGAACAGCAGTCAAGCCAGAGAGCCCTTTAGCGTAACATTCCTCCCACATTTGTTCTAAGTAGGATCAATTTCATCCTCCACAATCTTGCCAATACACAAAAAAATTTCCTCTAAGAAAAAAACAAGAAGCAATAGTCACACCTACCATTCTATGTAAGTTTACTCGAAAATTCATGTTGTCATCATGCAAAAATGCATTGGCATATTGATCCTAATAAAAATAAAAATACAGACAAAAAGTAAGGAATGAGAGCTATACTTAAGAAACTCGGTTTATAATCTATCATACTTCCTACAAATCCTTGACTTTAAGAACTACTTTCAAGGACTAGCTGCAGAACTAATTAATGGATGAGCCTAAAGCTTTTATGTCAAACCCTACTTAAGCCATGAGATTTTACTTAGGAGTAATTCCCAGGGTGACTCTAACTGGTCAAAAATATCTAAGCAAATTACAAACAGTAAAAACTATGGCACAGGGACATGAGGCAAATGGTGAGAGGAATCTGTTTTCCTATTATCTCTTCCTTCCCATCTGCCCAAGGAGCCTGCTCTGTTTGTGACAGCTTGAAGGTTTTCATAGGGGCTACAGGATACATGTGCAGGCTCCACATGAGGATCTACAGTTAAGAAGAAAGGTCTGTGCTCCACCAGGAGCAGGTTTGGCACAGCAGGAGAAAACTGCTACACGGGCAGCACAGCAGTAGGCAAGACCCTGTCTATCTCTGGCTTTGCTAAAGACTGATGGGAAATCAAAAACCTCTCACCATGGATCAGTAATAAACACCTCTTGGCCCCTTCCCAACACTTTTGCTGAAGATCTGACATGCCTACAGCCTCCAATTACTAAGAACAGTTACAATTTGTGAAAAACAACTCCTTTAAAGATTTTCTTAGAAAGATTTTTAAAAAGCAATTACACCAGGCCCACTGTTAATAAGCAGCTCTTCCATAACCAGCTCCCCTTAACCTGGTGAAAAGTAGGTCATCTTTTCACAGAGAACATAAAAAGGGAAAGAATGAGAGAGATCTCTACTCCACATGAACCACCTTCACTGTTTTAAGAGAAAAAAGATCAGAATAAGGAATAATGAAGGGGGAGGTTGAAGCTACAAATTTAGCTCTAAATTGACTCAAGTTCTGCCATACCTGTATTACCACCAAGGTCCCATGTTAGTTCAGGCCTAATTAATCCAAGCAAAAGTACCTCCTTACAAAGCCGAAAAACCTCTTTTTTCCCCTCAGGCTCTTGTTCTTCACTAAATTGCAATCAGCCAACTTCACTCACTTTCCAATTCCTCTCTTTGGCTACC